GATCTTGTATATTCTATCAGAGTTTGGGTTTTCGATGTGCTCCTTCAAATTGATTTTTTGCCGCATTTGGGTACTGTTCTCCTAGTCATGAATAGTTCAGATTGGTTCCTATGTTTCTTTATACTTGATTCGTCAAAATAATTCATTGTACATTTTAATTACATATTAGATTGATCTGTTGGCTCATCAGTGTTGCTTCATTGTGAACTGCACCAAGGCATTGTAAAATGCTATATCATGGTCCCTGCCCTTCTCCCAAACCAATAGGTGCAGGTGGTAGGTGATATGTCACAGGCATCAGGTCAAATATTATTGTTTCTTATCCACGCCATCATGCTCCATATATATGCCTTTACCTAGACACAGATTCATATGCATGGATATAATTCTAAAATCATTGATTTGGTGGTTCATACAGTTTATTTTTCTGCATTGCTATATGCATGGATATAATTCTAAAATCATAGATTTGGTGGTTCATACAGTTTATTTTTCTGCATTGCTATTTGCTCATATGTGATTATTACAGATATGGTCTGTTGATGGTTTAGCGATTGTTTGACCATGTTCCTTTTGTTATTTTTTACAGGGTTCAGGTTTGCGGACACAAATAGTTCCAACAGCCTTGTCTTTTCAACAGATTCTCGTTTCAGAGCATTAGCGCCAGGCTTGTATTTTGCCTTCACTTTTTTTTCTCTTCCTACATAATATATTTGTGTTGTATGAATGAAAAACCTAGGAGCTTATTAGCTTGACACATGCATAGATTTGGATGACAGGCCCAGAACCAAGAGTCCAAAGGAGTAGGTAGGTCGCCAACTCACCATTGAGCCTAAACGTTTGTTTTATTGCTTGCAACTGCCCTCGTTATTTGTCTAAAACAATAGCCAAAGAACTATAAATATAGCACCAAAAGATAGCTGGACGACATTTTATGTACACCGCTTAGAGATCAGCTACCGTGTATAGCTTTTCCACTATAAAATACTTATCCCAATTAAATCTTAAGAATGTTTTGTTTTCTGATAATAGGTACCTTAGTTTTCTTTGACATTTTCATATCACCTCATCGAATGCTTGGTACAACAAAGAGGAATAGAGCGACCTCAAAGTACACTAGAATTAAAATTACAGTGTGGTTCTCTTTGTCAGATTCAGATCCTTTATGTCGTAGGATTGTAAAATTCACCTCTCCCTACTCTATATGCACAGTGGTAAACCATGTGTTTCATCATCAAAGATACCCAGTTTAGTATACCTTATAACATTCAAGCTACAGTTCGTTTGACATATGAGTTGTGCTTTGGCTCACTTAACACCATCCAAACCGAGTTGCATGGTTCTGGTGCAATGGTTTTACTCAACATTTAGGCTACACTTCCTTTGGAAATGTTGGAAGCAAAAAATTAGTACCATGTACAGGGCTTATAATGATATATGATATGCATGGATCTGTTGGAGAGCTTGTGCGTGGGTGCGTACCAATCAGTTCTTTTGAGGAAACATATAGGTTGATGACTTTCTTGTACTTTTGTCCAATCTGTAATTTTCTATGTATATGGCCAGATACTCCTACAACATGATCAGGTGGTGATCTACAATATCTGATGATTACATCATAAATTATGTTTAACTTTTACACCAATGATCACGGGAGATCTTTCCTTCTTGTGTTTTTTCTTTTCTAGAATTGAGCCTATTTTCGTGAGTTCCGTTCTTAATGTTTGACTGATTTAGTGTGTTCAAGTTTTATTAGAGTCAAATTGGGTTTGAACCCATTCCTGGTGAATTTTGGACAGCCTCCGTTTGTACACTGCATACTATTGTGCTTTTGAAACAATGGTTTTCATATACACAGCAATAGCAAAAGCAGCACTCTTCTAATTTTTAGAGCCGTGACTCCTTCCCAGCAACAGTTACCTACTCATTGTCCTTATCTAATTTTCCCACCTTTTATTGGTTTGTTTTTTTTTTGGTGAATTTGAGAGTTGTTTAGTCAGCAGGCTTATGTACTGTTCCGAAACTTATTGAGAAGCAATAGTTGCCAGGCTGTTTTGGTTTCTCAGTCTAGCTGCAATGCAGCGTGTGCTGTTCCTCCAACCGCCAGATAGCTGCTGACTGAGTTTGGACAACAAGTTCAATCCGCTGAACCTGGTAGCTGCATCTCCTTTCAGTGTTTTAGTCATCGGGAGTAGTAGGATTTCGTGGCTGCAATCTACCAGGAAAACATCAGTTGTAGCTAGGCCAATATTATCTATGCACTCCATAGCTTGTGTAACAAATTTTTACTATTCTGGAATTCCGAATATAGGTATCTTATTTGCATTTGCTTTTTTCAGTTCCTAATTCCCATGACTCTAGACAAAGGAAGTTATCAGTCATGGTTGATCCTATCCGTTTTACCTTGAATCGTTGCATCCATTGTAAAATGCTTATCTACTTTTACCTGTTTAAAACTGAAAGCTGAGTGCTGATCAGGTACTTCTTTGCATCCATCTAGAATCCACTGTTCTCTATTTTCATACATAAAAATAAATGTATTGTCTTCGATCTCCTGCTTGTTTCAAAGTTCTGCTATACACATATTAGAGGTTCATACTATGATAGTATAAGTCTTGAATTTCCATCGGTAGTTCTACATTTGCCTACCACATTAACAAGCAATTTATCCATTGCAAGCTTGGGATCAAAAGAACAAAATCAATGATGCTTTGTACATTCATTAAAATATTGTGTTTCTTGTGCTTACTCACACTTAAATTTGAAGGTCCCTCTTCATGACACTGGTTAACTGCTAATGTCGATTTATTGTACAGAGTATTGCTTCATCTGGTTGATCTGCTATTTTTTTATAATGCCTCTTCTGAGAAAATTACATTTTAAGTTTACATAAGCTAGCCTTGTATCTTGCTTCCAGTAATTTGTTAACATGGTGGTACACTCTATTTTTTCAGAGAAACAAGAGGCAGTGAGGAAGCTGATGGAGACCTCAGGTATCTATGAATCTTTTTTCTAGATCTCTGAATGTCTTCCCTCCTAATGCTACAGCTGTCATATCCTCCATTGATTATTATATGCCTTTAATACGTTGGGGCTAAAGAGAGAATTCAGGGTGTAGTTTTTTTAGAGCAAGGTGGTGCTGGAGGTTTTGTCGGTATCAAATTGAAAAATCCTGAAATGAAACGTGTGTGTGCTTCTATGGAATAATTGCATTATGGTTCTACCTCTGCTTTCTATTAGGTAACTAAAGGTACCTGTACAGATAAAAAGCGGTATGCATTTCCATCAATTTTGTACCATTAAATGGTGCATTAACAACTGTGTTCCCTGGACTAAATATAGTGGCCTGATCCTATTCATGGCTGCTGATATGCAGGTTCTTTCCCTTATCAGGATCTCGGGTTGATGATATTTGTAGCTCATTCTAAGGTATCCTGTTTCTTTGATGTTAGGTTCTCATAGTACATGCTCATTTCTTTTTATTAATCTTACATATAGTGCCGTGATCCTTTTCATGGACAAGTGCTCTGCCAATTTGAGTTTTTCAATGGTTCTTCCACAAACATACCATGTCACAATTCTTTGACTGCCTCATCCAATAAGAGATTGAGAAATGTATCATGATCCGGGTTAGGATTCGATTCCTATATTTTTTTAAGATTCAACGCTTTTCCTTGTGTTCTATTTTTTTGATTTAAGAGGAATATATATCAACTGAGTTTAGGATAATAGGTACATTTAACTATGCCCAGCTTTACCCACTGTTAACATGATTTCACCATGATATGATATTTTATTACAATCTAGGTTTACCGTACACACATTATTCTTCAATTTAGTTTGCAAACAAATAATAGTACTGAGTCCTATTTTTTGCATTTCAGTATTGGCAGCCATTCATCAATAATTTAACGTACCCGCTGATCACAGCTTGCTAAGAGAACTTCCTATTTACATCAGCACCATCATGCATCGCCTATCACCAGACCTTCACCAGCACCACCACACATCAGCAGCGCTACTACCACCGAAGACAACTATTTGTGTACACCGGCTTTGAGATCAGCTACCGTGTATAGCTTTTCCACTATAAAATACTTATCCCTGTAATATATTTCAATAGACCTGTATAACCTCTGAACGTGCTACCGCGCGAGCGCGCGGAATCGCGCGCCAATCGACTAGTATGCTTTACATATCTATATCCTCTTCGCTCCTTCCAAACACATTCCAACGACGAGAAGTCAACAACACGATAGGAACCATCATTTTGATTTATGTATCAGTAGCTATAGGAATGTACAACCTGCTCGGAAGTGTTTACTGTAGCAGCTACGGCTGAAGAAAACCAGCAACAGCGGCTTCAACAGCTACTGGAGTAGCGCACAAACGTCATGGATAGTTTAGTTTAGCGTATCTTGAGAAAAACATGCAAGAGGACACTAGTTTTGTAGATCAAGTACTACCACTAGACAATCTGAGAGCCCGTCAGTGCCAACTGCCTAAGCAGGAAAAGAACTTCCTGCCTCATGGGACGGAGAAAGTCCACATCAGGATACATCAGAGCGGGGTTCAACACTCCACAAGATACAAATATTTGCTCGGTACTTGCTGGTTTCTTTACGAACAGAAGATACAAAAAAAATGCTAGTATTTCAGAACATGAACTTCGTTTTTCGTTGTGCTGTGATGTCAAGTTTGGACAGTTCTAAAGACTCCGAAAACTCAAATACTACTGCATACGGAACTCAAATCCTATATCAATGATGTACACAGATCTTATTTCGACAAAATACTGTACAAAAGGGGGCAAATACTGAACAAAGGATGTACAAAACAAAAGTAGTAATCTAGCAGATGTATCAACGAAGAGCTACAGCTATCTGTGGCTCCTGTTGTTTATTTATGATACAATCGCTATCTGCCAGAGGCTTTCTTCGTCTTCCTGCCGCCGTCGTCACTGGTTAGAGCTGAGGAAAAACAGAGTAACAGAGATACGTTTAGTAGGAGCAGGAGCACAAGTCTTTGATAAGACGGCTAATCTTGAGAGATTCAAGATAAGTAAGAGCAAAGCTATGGATATTCCAAACCTTTGAATCAACAACGACACGTGCAGGCTCCATGGCGTTGACCTCCGCGCCGTCAGGGTATTCCTCCTCCGCCACAGCCGCCACAGCCGACGACCGCGGTGGCGGGACAGCCCTTCCACTGACCATGGACAGGCAGACTGCCCAAACTCCCACGAAGAACATCAGGAAGAGGAGGAAATCTCTGACCGTATCCAGCCACGCCGCCACTGCCTCCGCCGCGGCCTTGTTCAGCGCGGCGACGTCGCCGGCAACGTAGAGCAGGATGCCGGCGAAGCCGAGCCACCGCAGCAATCCGGCGGGCGCGCGCGCCGACGCGCCGAGGGACGTCGTCCCCCGGGAAGCCTCCGTGGCCCGGCGCGCGAGGTCGGCCACGGCGCCGTGCGCCGGGGAGAGCAGCGCCGCGGCGCAGCCGAGCAGCAGGACGGCGTGCAGGGCCAGCACGACATGCGCGCGCTCTTCGACAGCGGGGAGCCCATGGCCATGAGCACGGACGCCGCGGCGAGCGCCACGACCGCACCCGCCCGGCGTATGGCCGCCTCGCTCTGGGACTGGGACATTGCGATGCAGCAGCAGAGGCGGAGGAGGTGAGGCGGATCGAGCAGGAGGGGAGGGGCAGCGCGGAGGCAGAGCAAGTCGAGTGAGCGCCGACCAGGATCGGATATGCGTGTGCGTGCATAAACTGCACATATAAAAGTAGAGAGGCAGCGTATGCATTGCACCTCGACGACTTAGGTCCTGTTTCGTTGAGCTGTGGATGTGGAAAAAAAAGCTGCTAAAAATCAAGGTACGTAGGGCTGAAATTGTATAAATATACCTTTTATCTTTATCTCTTTTGAAACAACTATGAAAAAGAGCTTTTTTATTCCACCAATTTGAAAAGAAAGGTAAAAAGTAAAAGCGGTCAACCCAAATTTTAAAAAATGAACTACTGAAAAGAATCGCTTCGAAAAACCTCTCCAAAATGCCTTTTGGTTGGGCTTTTGGCTTCAAAAACCAAAGCCAAAAGCCCAACCAAACAGGGCCTTAGGGTCCCCGTTTGATGGGCTTTTGGCTTTGGTTTTTCGCCCCAAAAGCCAAAAGCTCAACCAAAGGGGCGGTTTTTTCAGAAGCAGTTGTTTTTCCGTAGTATAATTTTGAAAGCTAATTTGACCCTATTTTTGGCTTTTGGCTTTCTGCTTTTCGAAATTGATGGAATAAAAAGCTCTTCCATAGTTATTTCAAGAAAGATAAAGATAAAAGGTATATTTTATACTTGTTTAACCAAACAGCTTTTAGCTTTTCTACAGCCCACAGCAGCTTTTCCACAGCTCATAGTCCACAGCAGTTTTTTCCCACAGCCACAGCTCAAACAAAAACACTCTTAGAGCAAGTATTATAAGGTAGCCGGCTGAATCCACGTAGCGAAAAACATATGATGCGGCAGAGAGAGAAACAGAGAGAGAAAGCGAGCCGACGCTCTACTCTCCGCCCGGCTGAATAGCCCGACACCGCCCGTTCCCAGCTTGTTATATGTGCAAGCTGTATTACTTACTATACGTGACATGACACAATCTCTCAGCCGGCAGTCGGCTGGCTTATTAGCCTTTGTTTAGTTCCACCTTAACTTCTAAAAAGTTGCTACAGTACCTGTCACAATGAATGTTTGCGGTCCATATATGGAGCATTAAATGTAAACGAAAAGAAAAACTAATTACACAGTTTTGTGGGAAATTACGAGACGAACGTTTTGAGCCTAATTAGTCCATGTTTGAACACTATTTACCAAATAAAAACAAACGTGCTATAGTAACCCCAAAATCCAAATTCCTCTAACTAAACAAGGGCTTAGCCGTGCTCTTATACCATCCAGCCTGCGGGCCTTTTATAAAAGTACAGAGGGAATAGAAAAGGCATAAAAATTTAAAATAATAGATTACTTTCGTACTTTCATTTTGTGGTGATCAGTGGTCACATGGGTGGATGGGATATACATTATACAAGTTGCTTACGTACTACTTAGGGTCTGTTTGTTCCTTAAACTCAATTTTAGTTCCTGTTTCATTAGATGTTTGACACATGTATGGAGTATTAAATATAGACTAAAAAATAACTAATTACACAGATTGCGACTAATTTGCGAGACGATTTTTTAAGCCTAATTAGTCTATGATCTGATAATGTGGTGCTACAGTAAATATGTGTTAATGACGGATTAATTAGGCTTAATAAATTTGTCTCGTAAATTAGTCTCCATCTGCGTAATTAGTTTTTATAATTAACTCATGTTTAGTCCTCCTAATTAGCATCCGAATGTCCGATGTGACATAGACTAAAATTTAGTCCGTGGAACCAAACACCATCTTAATTCTAAGGATGAAAGAATAGAGTCCATGTATTATCCGTGATATATGTTCCCCTAGGATTTTTTTTAAAGTGTTAAGCCTTATACTTTTAGATCAGGCGTTAATTATGGGCGTTGAATTAGATCAATCTGAAACTTCACCAGTTATGATCATGACTTTTTAGCAGTGGTTTTAATCATCGGTAACGCTGGTATATGGCGTCCGTCTGCCCGGACGGCGCCGATGGTGGGCCACGACGTATCAAAACAACGACATATCTGTTTATCCACTCAGCCCTACCGTTCTAAAAAAACTCACATCACCGCAGCGTCGCGACACTCCACTACACCGCCTCGACGACGGCGCTCTCCACCGCGCTTCCCTTTCCACCGCGCCTCCCTCTCCATCACGCCTCCAGTCCGCTGGCCGGTATCTCCTCCGCGCCAGAGCACGACAGCCCATCTTCCTCCCTCTCCACCGCGCCTCCCACCCTCCGCGGGCTTCTCTAGCGCATGGACCTGCCGCAGCCTTCTCCACGGGACCTGCCACGACCTTCTTCACTGGAGCAGCGAGCTCCGCGCCACCAGCGAGCTCTACACCAGTGAATTCCACACGCCGATGAGCCTCCATTCCCATGCAGCAATGAGATGTTGCGCTGAAAGCGCATGTTGCAAACGTATGTTTCAAGTGTTTCAGTTCAGAGCTATGTTGCAAGTGTTTCATATGGATGTTGCGAAACTAGATCGGGATGTTGCATATGTTACAAGTGTTTCAGAGACATGTTGCAAGCGTTTGTTCAAAGTGTTTCATCTGTTAGACGTATGTTGCAAGCGTTTTGATCTGGATGTGGCATATGTTTCTCACATATGTTGCAAGAGTATGTTCCAAATATTTCAGGTATTTCATTCTTATGTTTGAAAGGATCAAGATGCCCAAGAGAAGGTTGAATTGAGCTAATTCTAAATTTTTTACAATAATTAAACCCTACACTTAGCCCGCTTCACCCCTTGTGCCTAGAATGTGTTTCTATTGTTCTACCACACAAAAGTTTTACACCCTAGGTTCCAATTCTACTCTAGCATGGTAAATCTAGGAATGTAAAGACAAGAAATGAATTGCTCAAATATAAATGCTCAAAGTAAAGAGAGAAAAAGAAACGCGGCGATGTTTTTCTGAGGTATCGGAGAGTCGCCACTCCCCACTAGTCCTCGTTGGAGCACCTGCACAAGGGTGTAGCTCTCCCTTGATCCGCGCAAGGATCAAGTGCTCTCTACGGGCTCATTCTTTGACACTCCGTTGCGGTGAATCGCCCACAACCACTCATAACTTGAGTTGGGTCATCCACAAGCTCCGCCGGATGATCACCAAACTTCCAATCACCACCGAACCATGTAGGTGATGGCGATCACCAAGAGTAACCAGCACAAACTCTAACTTGACCACGACAAGCCTAATGAGAAGGGTGGATGCACACTTGCCACTCTCCTTGCACTAATGAGGATCTTAATTTTGGATTCTCAAATCTCAATCACCTCACTAGACTCTTGCTCTCCTTTGCACTCTCAAGGATGTTTCTCAGCTGAACAAAGGGGCAAGAGACCTCACATGGATGAGTGGAGTAAGTATTTATACCTTCTCATTCAAAACATAACGTTTGGAGGTTGAGTCAGCACTCTGCGGGGTGACCGGACGCTCCGGTCAGTTATCCCTGCCACTGTGTTAGAAAAAGCCGTTAAGTTCTGATCGGACTCTGACCTGCGTCCAATCAGCACTGACCGGACGCGTCCGGTAAAGAAAAACGCTCTCTGGAATCTTACTGATGTTGATCGGACGCTGGCACCCAGAGTCCGGTTACTTCACTGTTCAGCGACCGGTCAGTTACCGGATCTTGACTAATGTCCGGTCAGCACTGATCGGACGTGTCCGGTCAAAAAAATCCTTCTCTGGAACCTCTCTGGAGTTGACCGGACGCAAACACCCAGCGTCCGGTCCACTTTCACTCAGCGTCCGGTCAGTACCAGACGACTTCATTAGATCAAATGAACTGATCGGACTCACCCTCCAGTGTCCGGTCACAATCAGACTAGCGTCCGATCAATCATTTGATCCTCCATTCACTTTCAACTCAAAATCCTATGTGAATAAAGTTTGTTCCAATTAATCTTAGGGCTACTTCTAAGCTATCTAGTGCTAGATTTGACAAGTGTACACCACACCTGTATCACCTCTGATGTTACGAGCTTGCTTAGCACCTAGGTTAATACCTAAGAGTAATTAGTAAAACAAATTTTCGGGTTTAAAAGTTTGAAGCGCACGTGGAATTATAAATAAATCTTGTGTGACTCGCTTTCGTAAATAAAACGAGCAAATAAATGTTGCTAGTCAACTTGTCTCGATGCTTAGCAACTTTTAAAATAATCTTGTGGATAAAAGTTGTTTAGGGCTTGTTTTGGAAAAGTACGAAGAAAGCGCTTAAATATATCGGATAGCAAAATAAAATAGTGAATGGCTTGTTTATTTGATTAAGCATGAAAAATAAACTTTATAAACAAGAATATGATACGAATGGTATATAGTACTTAAGTAAAATTCGGACCATGATTTTTGTTGTATTTAAAATATCGAGTAACAAACTTTAGTGCTTTAGCCGTGTTTGAAAATATATATAGTCGGCTTAGAAAATAAATATTTAAGAGCTAAAATGATATATAATGTGGGTAGAAAAATCATATCATCAGCATGATATGAACACCGTGAATATGTTGGTATGCTTGTTCGAGTGTCAAGGTGATGTTTGTTAGTTTAAAAATAATAACGAAAGTACCGCTGGCCATTCAGCTCACCTACCTCGCCGGTACGACGCGCCGGTTATGTCATTGGACTGAGCTTGCTGACCGGGCGCTGCATCTTGCTGGCTGCCTTCGCGTCCCGCCAGGTTCGAGCCGTCCCGTCTATGCACTAGTTTGAGGGACGGTGGTGCCTCATCGTTTTCGCGTGTACTCAACCTCGACTTAACTAGGAGAGCACTCTCGCCTTGGCCACGTCTAGCTCCGGTCGGACCGTTACCACTTTTCACGCTGTCGCAGCGCCTAGTCCGCCTGTACCCAACATGCACTAGCCCACGTTGATGCCCATGCGCGCTTTGCACCCAGCGTGTCCGTTTGCCTGCGCTCCCGTCCTTCTCTACCTCTCTTGCGCCGCGTCCGAAATTTTAATGTGAGCACCAGCCGAGCAGGTACCTTACTGCATCACCGAGCATTCAGGCAGCAGCAGGCCCTTTTTCTTTTCCTCGCCTACCATTGTGCTCGGCGCCTTGGCGTCCGCGCTCTTGCCCTAGCACGCCGCACCACCGCAGTCGCCATGCCCGTCGTCGTTTCCCCTTCGCGTGAGCAC